TAAAAAAATATGTATGGAGGAATTACTGGCATGATCAAAGGTGGACACAAGGAAAGTATCCACTAACAGCAACAAATGCATGCGGTGCTTTCCCTTCCCATTGTCCCTATGTTACCCAATCCTTTCCTAATAAATATTTAGGTTAGCTAAGCATGAATGATTTTTCATGATGTCAGTTTACAGCTGTTAACTGGAATTTATTTTAACACATGCTAAAGATGGAAAGGAAGATTACTTGACTACCTCAACGGGGTCAAACTGTTGCAACAGAGATACAGATTTATAGCTAAGGGGCAGAGTGAGAGGGTCAGTGAATGGAATTACTCAGATGAACTTGACCAGTTCTCAGAGGCAGGAAGGTGAAGAACTTAGACAGGATAGAGAATGCAGAATTGCAAGGGGGAAAAAAAGTGAGAACCAAGACCTGTCATGTAAAGGTACAAGATCCCAGTAATGAATGTAGTTGTACTGTATACCTCAAATGTACCAATAAACTCAATAAAAGAAAAAAAAAGGAATGCAGAATTGGATCAGATATCAAATACGGAGTGATACTCACTACACTGCCTTGACAAGCTTTGTGCTAGAGGCAAGCCTGCGTGCTGAGGGAAGAGGCCTTGTTGAGAAGAGGGCTCAGAGAAAAGTCCAGAGTTTGGACACTCCACAGCCAAGCTTTGTGGTAGTGTTACTGAACCAGGCTCGCTTCGTACCCTGAACAATCTGACAACTGAAGCGACAAGAGAGTTAATTCTTGAGGCTGCCTCATGTGGAAACAGAGCATGACTCCAATTTACCTCGCTGAGGATGGGGCGTTGGGATGTTTGTGAGGCAAGCTGGAGGGGAAGGCAGCTGGATCAAACTTTGTGTTCTGTGAACATCACAACCCCTTGTCAGAGGTGCTGTCTGCAGTTCACTAAAAACAACCAGTGAGGAGTAGGTGAGATCTAGGTTTATTCAGGAACTAAAAAGAGGTTGTTTTTCAGATTTTATCTTGGTTTACTTGTCATTGGGTTTCTGTGATTGGACGATTTCCTTCTGTTTGGCTGGAAGGTCTTAGATCACATAGTACTCTTTTTTTTTTTTTTTTTTTTTTTTTTTTTTTTTTTTTTTTGGTTTTTTGAAACAGGCTCTCACTTTGTGGTTCAGGCTGGCCCTGACTCACTACGTAGCCCAGGCTTGCCTCAAATTTGCAGCAATCCTCCTGCCTCTGTCTCTCAAGAGAATCCATCTTCTTATTCACCCAATATCTATTTGAAATCTTGCAGCTTTTTACTTTGTTTAGTATTCGTGAGATGCCCTTCCTGGACACTTTTCTTTTGGATTTTCTCATTGTCATTGTTTCCTCTTGTTGCTGTAGACATAAATGTTTTCATTATAATATTGTTCATACTTTAATCTTTCTTATTCCTCCACTGTATTAATTACCATTTAAAGAAAGATCAGATTTAATTTCTCTCCATTTCTTACTTTCAAACCTGGAATAGTACATAATCAAATGCATTTTTCAACTAGAAATAACATTAGCATGATCTAGTTTGTATTTGTACATGTGGTATTTTCAAAATTTGCATATAAAATTTAAATTTTTGATTAATACAAATTGTGGTAAATTACAAATAAATTCATCATGTGGAGTTGATGCCTATATATTAACACATTTTAATCCTTTACATTTATGATTTAAAGCCATATTTTGTACAAAGTCAAAATATTCTCAACAATTGGCTTTGGTGTTTCTCTTTGTTCTTTCACTTAGCTTTCTTGTCTGGCTCTTAAAAGAGGAATGCATAATGAGTTTTCTTCTTTTTACAAACACCTCTTACTATCTATGGGCTTTGGAATCAATGTCTTCTTTCAGTGTTTATCTTCCCAAAGAAAACTGTACATTCATTGGTAACATACTGGGAAATTCTCTTTCACATTAAGGACTTTAAGCTCCTTTTCAAAGGGTTTCTTAGGAGAGTAAATATCAATATGATGACAAATCAAGCTCTAGATCAAGGAGTGGTGAACTGTGGTCTGAGGAATTTCGCATCACCAGGCCCACCTATACACAATAAATTCTATAGTACACAGAACTCACCCAGCATCTCTGAGAAAAATTGGACTGCGCATATTGTCTAGAAGTATACCAGTCTTTATTGAGTTCTTAACCTTTCTATCAGCAATTGTTACTAATGCCAGAGAATGACGTAATAGAAAAAAAAACTCCTAAATATATACTTGGGCAATCATTTAAAATAATTCCTGGTGGGCATATGTACATGAACTTGATAATTTATTCCATATCCATATCTTTTATTCCATTTCCATATCCACTACTTACAAATATTTACAAAAAGATTTGGTTGGTATTCTTCACAATTCTGTGCTGTAATGTGGTATGTTAATTTTTATGCTGATGGAGAAAACAATGAAATCTCTCAATATCCATCTCAATTTCATAATAGAAGTTTAGTAAAGAACACCACACTTAGAATATCACATCATGTATCTCCAAGCACATATGAGTACGCATATAAACTTATAGCAAAATACATTATACCAGAATTGATTTTTCCAACAAATTCACAAAACTTACATTTAGCTGGATCGATGGCCAAAAAAAGGGGACTCAAACTGCTAAAATCAGAAATGCAGGAGAGAACATACCATCATTTATTTATGCATGAAAATTATTTCAGAGATTATGAATAATTGTATTTTAAGATTGTAGATAGCCTAGAAGAAATAGACAACCTCTAACAAATGTACAACCTACGAAGACAATAAAAAATGGCATTAAAAAGTCAAATACATCTCAACTCATAAGGACATTAACTCAATAATCAGGACCAGAGGTTTGGCTCACTGATTCTGCCGCCTGCCTCGCAAGCACAAGGGCCCGAGTTGGATCCCTGGTCCCAAAGATAAAAGAAAATTTATGGATCCTTGTACACTGTTAGTGACAATGCGCATCAATACAGCCATTATGGAAAAGAATATGAAAGTTTCTTAAAACACAGTTATTGAAACTGCCACAGGACCCAGTAAGCCCACTCTGTGTATTTATGTAAAGGAACTGAAACCACAGTCTAGAAAGATTTCTTCACACTCATGTTCATTGAAAGTTTATTCACTTCAGCCCAGGTGTAAAAATGGTCCGTGTCATTTAGAACGAAAGAAGAGATTTTACCATTGATCTATATATGATTAAAAGTATTCACATTATAAAACTCTTAGAATCTAAATGAGTGAACATATCAATATTTTTCCACAAGTTAACCAGAAGAGCTGTTCATTACCGATGGTTGGGCATCTCTCTCTCTCTGCCTCCTTCAGCCTGTCTGTCTCTCTACTTCTGACATAGATTCATTAGCATAGGGACGTGTGTAGATTTACATCATAGATGTGTCGTTCAGAAATTGAGATCCTTCATGCAGGCAGACATCCACACATCATGTATCTTTTTCACATTAACAGTTTCCTTGGCTACTTTCCCTATGAGGCCAGATGGAGCCACCCGAATAGCTGCATATCATTTTGTCATACACGTGGCCTATACACAGATGTTACGGAAGGTTCCAGATGCTGCCTCCTTCAACTACGGATGTGAACAATAGTCTTGAAAAGGTGTGTTGCTGTGTATGTGAGAAGAATCGCTAACATTAGCTCTGCAAGGAAAAGCAACGTAAATGTTTAAAAGCCTGAGGAGTGAGGCGTGGTGGCCCTGCCTGTAATCCCACCAGTAAGGAAGCTGAGGCAGGGGAACTGACCTTAGTTTGAGGCCAGGCTGGAGTACATAGTGAGATGCTGTCACCAATACCAAAAAAAACCAATACCAAAAGCAAAGCAAAACAAAGACTGTCAAATGAGGGCCTGAGATTTAGCTCAGTGGTTCTGCCACCTGTGTCGCAAGCGTAAGGTCTACAGTTCCATCCCTGATGCATAAAAAAACCAAAAGCACTCGGAGGAGCTGGCACACAGCTCTTTGAGAGAAGAACTTCCATAACCATGTCCTTCAGGGACCTACCAGGCCTGCTGCCTTCCATGTTCTTACCAGTTCTATTGGCGCCACACTTAAAACATATTAGTGTGAAGAGGACAGATGACATTTCAGTAATGTGTGCCTCTGTGCCCTGCAGATTGATCATTGTATAACTTTGCAGGCTGCGATGAAATTTCATTTTGCATTACAAAAGTGTCTTTTATCCTACTAAACCGATAGCTTCCTGAGTGTTCATTGTAGCCCTGGGATTTGATCCTCCAAGATGGTGTGGGTTCTAAAAAACATTTCTCATTGTGATTTGTCATTATAATTGTTCACATTGTTCTTGCTTTTGTTTTGCCTGCAAAGAGTCAGCCATTTCCCTGTGGTTTCTTATCACTGAAGTCATAGACTAGAAACCCCAAACCCTGCCCCAGGGCGAAAAAAAAAATATATATATATATAGATATCTATCTATCTATAGATAGGTATATATTATATTATATTCATTGTGGGGCTTTGCTTTCTACCTGTAAATTGTGGACTATATCCCCTTCTAACCTAAACTAAGATGAATCAGACCCCTCCAATCCTACGTGGCCAACGAGAAATCTCATTTCACAGATGTGAAAAAAATTGAGAATAGGTAAATCACAGGGAAAGAAAGGTGACCAGTAGCCAGGAGCTGGCCTAGGGCAGAGGTGAGGGACTGCATATGGGTACGGAAACCAGGAAGATGTTCTGGTACCGGACAGTTGTGGAAGTTGCACAGCACTGCAAGTGTACTTGATGCCACTGACCATCACAAAAAACTAACTCTGAAATTACATTTAAAATTAATATATTTACAGAGAACTGGGAATTAAAGATATGAGTAAATACAACAGGAAGTGCAACAGCCAGGGCGCAGAAGAGTGGGTATGTGTCAGGAGCTGGCCACAGGGGGCAGTCAGGAGGTGACACCCTCTGTGAAATGAGGGACCCCAGGTGTGGAACTGGTGGAGAAGTGGTTCCTGCAGCTGGTTCTCATTTCAGTGCTGCAGCTGGTGAGGAGGCTGAAGGTAGAGGCGGCACCGGCTCTGCAGGTGGTACTCGAGTTTGAGCCGCAGCTGGCCCTGCAGCGAGAAGAAGAGAAAACACCTACTGTCCATGTTCCTCCCACGAGGCAGCTCTGTCTGCCAGCCCATCCCAGGAAGTCTTCCCAGGTGCATCCACCCACGGACTACTTAGTCTCGGGCTGTTCCCGGGCCAACGGAGCAGGTGGGAGCCCTTACTGCATGCCCAGCCCCATCCTATCCCATGTACCCATGGGCCCATAGCCCGGTCCTATCACCCTTACTCTCTTCTTCAGCGGGCTTGGGGATGCTGCAGTGGAGCCAGTGGGCTGGGAGGTCCATCCTGGACGTGCATCTCTAGCCAGGAGTCGAGGAGGAAGGACACGGCCCTGGGAAAAGACAAATGGGTATCTTTTGATGCATGGTGTGAGCACCTCTCCCTTCTTCAGGGAAGCGTGGCACCCGTCGCTGTGCCTGTGCCTCCTGTTGCCATGTGGCCTCTGTTCAGAAAAGGGGAGGTGTCTGTGGTGGCATTGGCTTTGTGGGAACAGGGCACATGCTGCAAGCAGGTCTGAGAAGTGAGAGCTAAGGGAGAGAGGGTCCTCCCCAGCTCTCATTTTTTGGCTCTTTTCTCTGCCTAGTTCTCTGTCCTCTGGGTTCCTTTCCTCCATACTTGCTCGTGTCTCAGGAGGCCAGGAGACTGTCCCGTTCACCACTCTGTGAACATGATCTGCTTGCTCTTCTGTCTCAGGTGACTGTTTAGCCCCCTAGTGGCATAGAAGCCCCCTTGGTCGCTGGGTCATGGTCAGTGCCTAGATAAGGGTTTGCACATAGTGGGGCTTCATGCATATGCTGGGAAGAAAGACACACAGCAGCTTCCTCTAAGGTATCAGAGTGGGCCTGGTCCCTCTGCCATCCCCTAGGGTCTCCTGCGCTGTATGAACCCTGTGGAGTGAGTCTCTGATCTCCTTTACAACGAAGAGGATAGCTTTGCCCAAGTGCAGGATTCAGTGAGGGGGAGACAAAGCTTCCCTTTAGGGAAAGAAAATCATCAGTGAGAATAAGCACAGCCATTGCAGCAGATCTTCAACAGGACTAAGGTCAGGGCCAGCGCTTGCCTTGGAGACCCCACTTCCTCCTACAGTGACCCCATGGGCTTGGCCTATGAGCACTGCACTGTTCAGAGACACACACAGAGACAGAGGGAGGCACAGGGACATCCCCAGAACTCAGAGCTGCAGAGGGCAACACTTACCTTCCCATCATTCTGGCCTGTTGGGCATAGGTGCAGGCCCTGGTGGATCGCAGGAAGGAGGAACCGAGGAAGGGTTGGCTGCCTGGAAAAGCTGGCACCAGCTGCTCGGAGAGGGAGTGTGATGTGACCACCTGCACTCGCCAGACTTGGGCGAGGCTCCCAGCTGAGTGATTTTCAAGCTGTGGTGCAAGAGTGGAGTCAGTGGCCAAACCATGAGCCAACGGGAGGGTTGCAGGGTGAAGCTCCCCCAAACTGCATATTAGTTAGTGACTTTTGTCTCAACACAGACAGGAGAGCCTCAGCACAAATGTCGTTTTCCCAGTAAAAGGTTCAATTTCAGAAGGGACTTGGGAGACATATTAGCATGTCTGGGCCACTTTCATAGCCACAGAGAGGCGGTAACTGCCTGCCTAGAGGACATCAATCCGTGTTAGCCAAGACAGAGTCCCTTTGTAGAGGTGAGAACCCAGAAGCTTGTCTCGTTTCTTTGGGGGTGTGTCCTTAAGTGAAACACCCAGGATATTCCGTGGGGTGCCATTGAAATGGCCCCAGGAAGGAATCAAGTCTAGGTCCCCTAGCACGAAGACCTGTGGTCACAGTCACCACCTCTCCTCTGCAATGTGGTTCAAGTCAGAGACCCAGCTCCTGACCTGTTGGACCCACGGTATTGGTCTTTCACACAGCAAGTGACAGAGAAATGGACAGAATAGGAAGAAGTCCTGATGTGTTTGGTGAACACAGCTCTGGACATCTCATGATGAATAAGCATTGGAGAAGGAGTGGAAGGACAGTCAGGCCAGTGGCACACAGACACCAAGGTGCAGGAGTTAAAAGGATGTGAAGTTGGCAGAACACAAATCATCCCAAGAAGTACAGTGGCAGAGTATCAAAGTTCCTTCTCTCATGATCCCAAAAACATGTGGACAGTGACCTTGCCCCAGCGGGGGGCTAGGGAGAGAAGAATTTCACATGGGAGGACATGAAGCCCATATTTCTGTGGGGTTGCTGTCTACCCATGCCTGGAATGAGGTGTTGGCCCTGGTGTGCAGTCCCAGGGTGTTTGTGGTTCTTCTCCAAAGCCCCAGTGGGAGTCTCCTCTATTCCCACCCTGACCCATGGTGAGCTGGCACTTGTTGCATTGTAGAGCCTGAAAGTCTTGTGTAAGAAACTGGCATGAAAGCCTACAGTGATATGTAGATGTGTGTAGACAGTGTCCATTCGCCAGCAGCAGGCGTCAACACCTGCCAGCCCATCACTGGGGATGCTTATGACCCTGGAGACCTTTTGTATTCCATATCACACATGTACCTGTGTTACAGGATTCTACTCTGGTAGGAGAGGAAATGACTCTGGAGGCTGTGGAGTAACACTGTACCCTGGAGCTGCCCACCTGCCAGCCCTCTCCTGGGTGAGAATGTAACAGAACAGCAAGCACACAACATCCCAGCAGCTACTCCTGCCAGGAGGACTAACCCGTATGACCAAAGTCCTCCCACACCCAGAAAGAAGTGCTAGACTTGTGCAGGAAACTCACAGTGGTGCTGAGGCCAGGGTGGACATGAGTGGGGCTTCCTGGTGTTTCTTGGTGGCTGGTGGACAGGCCTCGAAAGACCTCGCCTGGGTTCCTTACTGTCTCTGCGCATGGCATTGCCAGCTCAGAGATCTCTTCTGGCCTTCTTTTGGCCTTCGATGGCCTAGAGACGAACTCTGGGAAGAACCCCTCAGGAATGACCTCTTTTGGGCCCGTAGGTGTTTGTTGGGGCTCCATGGCCAAGCCTGGGAAGATCTCTGGAAGAACTTCCCCTGGGCTTCCAGGTCTTTGTGGGTTTGTCATGCCCAGGCCCAGGAAAATGTCCTCTGGGAAGACCTCTCCTGGGCTCCTGTGTCTTTCTGGGTTTCTCATGCCCAGGCTTGGGAAAGTCTCCTCTGGGAAGACCTCTCCTGGGCTCCTGGGTCTTGGTTGGTATCTCATGCCCAGGCTCGGGAAAATCTCCTCTGGGAAGACCTCTCCTGGGCTCCTGTGTCTTTCTGGGTTTCTCATGCCCAGGCCCGGGAAAATGTCCTCTGGGAAGACCTCTCCTGGGCTCCTGGGTCTTGGTTGGTATCTCATGCCCAGGCTCGGGAAAATGTCCTCTGGGAAGACCTCACCTGGGCTCCTGTGTCTTTCTGGGTTTCTCATGCCCAGGCTCGGGAAAATCTCCTCTGGGAAGACCTCTCCTGGGCTCCTGTGTCTTTCTGGGTTTCTCATGCCCAGGCCCGGGAAAATGTCCTCTGGGAAGACCTCTCCTGGGCTCCTGGGTCTTGGTTGGTATCTCATGCCCAGGCTCGGGAAAATCTCCTCTGGGAAGACCTCTCCTGGGCTCCTGTGTCTTTCTGGGTTTCTCATGCCCAGGCCCGGGAAAATGTCCTCTGGGAAGACCTCTCCTGGGCTCCTGGGTCTTGGTTGGTATCTCATGCCCAGGCTCGGGAAAATCTCCTCTGGGAAGACCTCTCCTGGGCTCCTGTGTCTTTCTGGGTTTCTCATGCCCAGGCCCGGGAAAATGTCCTCTGGGAAGACCTCTCCTGGGCTCCTGGGTCTTGGTTGGTATCTCATGCCCAGGCTCGGGAAAATCTCCTCTGGGAAGACCTCTCCTGGGCTCCTGTGTCTTTCTGGGTTTCTCATGCCCAGGCCCGGGAAAATGTCCTCTGGGAAGACCTCTCCTGGGCTCCTGGGTCTTGGTTGGTATCTCATGCCCAGGCTCGGGAAAATCTCCTCTGGGAAGACCTCTCCTGGGCTCCTGTGTCTTTCTGGGTTTCTCATGCCCAGGCCCGGGAAAATGTCCTCTGGGAAGACCTCTCCTGGGCTCCTGGGTCTTGGTTGGTATCTCATGCCCAGGCTCGGGAAAATCTCCTCTGGGAAGACCTCTCCTGGGCTCCTGTGTCTTTCTGGGTTTCTCATGCCCAGGCCCGGGAAAATGTCCTCTGGGAAGACCTCTCCTGGGCTCCTGGGTCTTGGTTGGTATCTCATGCCCAGGCTCGGGAAAATCTCCTCTGGGAAGACCTCTCCTGGGCTCCTGTGTCTTTCTGGGTTTCTCATGCCCAGGCCCGGGAAAATGTCCTCTGGGAAGACCTCTCCTGGGCTCCTGGGTCTTGGTTGGTATCTCATGCCCAGGCTCGGGAAAATCTCCTCTGGGAAGACCTCACCTGGGCTCCTGTGTCTTTCTGGGTTTCTCATGCCCAGGCCCGGGAAAATGTCCTCTGGGAAGACCTCTCCTGGGCTCCTGGGTCTTGGTTGGTATCTCATGCCCAGGCTCGGGAAAATCTCCTCTGGGAAGACCTCACCTGGGCTCCTGTGTCTTTCTGGGTTTCTCATGCCCAGGCTCAGGAAAATCTCCTCTGGGAAGACCTCACCTGGGCTCCTGTGTCTTTCTGGGTTTCTCATGCCCAGGCTCGGGAAAATCTCCTCTGGGAAGACCTCTCCTGGGCTCCTGGGTCTTTGTGGGGGCCTAGTGGCTTGGCTAAGGCAAATCTCCCATGGGAAGACGACCTCTGGGCTCCTAGGTCTTTGTAGGCCACCCGTGGTGGTGCCGGGACAGATCTCCTGTGGGAAGATCTCCCGTTCTCTGGGAAGGCCCCTAGGTATTTGTGGATCTGATCTGACCAGGCCAGGAAAGATCTCCCGTGGGTAGCCCTCCCCCACTGTCCTCAGTGACTCTGGGCTACTGTTGCCTGGTCCGTCAGTTTCACACCTGGGGCCTCTTGCAGTTTCTGGGCTTCTGGTTGTCAGGCATGGGGAGACCTGCCCAGAGCTAGGTGGTATCTCTGAGCACTGGGTGGCTGGGCCTGGAGAGACCTGCCTTGGTCTCCTTGGTGTCTTTGTGTCCTGACGAATGGGGCCTAAGGAGACTTTTCTCGGGTTCCCCAGTGTTTCCCTGTGACTGGCATTCAGGCCTGAGGAGACCTGTCCTGGGATCTTTGCTGGATTTTGGTACCTGGTGCCAGATCCCTGGAAGATCTTCCCTAGCCCTTGGGGCCTTGTCCTGACGAATTGGGCCTAAGGAGACTTTTCTCGGGTTCCCCAGTGTTTCCCTGTGACTGGCATTCAGGCCTGAGGAGACCTGTCCTGGGATCTTTGCTGGATTTTGGTACCTGGTGCCAGATCCCTGGAAGATCTTCCCTAGGTCCCTTGGGGCCTTTTGGTGCTTAGAAGCTGGGTCTAAGGAGACCTCTTGGCACTTCAGTGTCTCAGGGTACTTCATGCCAGGGCCTGGGGAGACATTTCCTGGGCTTTCTGGGACCTTTCTGATTAGGGCAGGTGGGCCCAGGCTCCTTGGTGGCTCATGGCTCATGGTGGTCACCCCTGGGGAGATCTGGCCTGGGTTTTCCGTGATGATTGAGCGGCTCCTGCGGTGTGGCCTGAGATAACTGGGTGGAGTTAACCATTTTCTCAGTCTTTGAAAGAAGCTTTCTCTGCCTGAAGTCTTCTGGCTCTTGCCTCGAGAAGTTGAGAAGCAGTTCAGCATACTTGCTGTTCACCGTCTCTGGACAAGTGAGCTCAGGACGTATCCGTCACTCTATTGTGACTCGTGTTCATGAGGATTCCAAGTTCTTTTTGGACAGGTTGCCTAGGAAACAAGGTCATGTCTTGTGCCTACCACCAGAGCACTTCCTCTGAGGAGAAGACCTGATGGCCCAGCTTCATGTTCATAGTGAAATAAATCAGTGGCCCTTCCCTTAGTACTGTTACTGTTTTTATCCTAGGCATCTGTCTATCTAGGATGTACATTTGCAGTACTGAGCATTGAGCCCACTGTGCTCGTGCTGAATTCTATTACATCCCCAGGCTATCTTTTTTCCAGACACTCATTAAGGGTCTCACTAAATCATTTAATGGAGCCTGTTACCAGGTTTGGTGGCACACGCCTGGGATCTCAACACTGGGGAGGCTGAGGCAGGAAGTTCACCATGAGTTTGAGGTGACAGATGAGAGACACTGGCTCAGGAAAGAAAAGAAAGAAAAAGGAGACAAACCTTAATTGAGCATGATGGGCTCCATCTTTTGATTTTCCTGCCTCAGACCCCCAGAATGCTGGAATTACTGCCTGATTCAGTGTGCTACTGGGAAACAGCAAAAGAAAAACTAAACAAGTTTCTCTGATTTGAGGCCCTGGTGCCATTTTCACTTCTAAGGCACCATATATACAGAGAGACTTTGTATGTAGCAGGCCCAGTACTAAAGGGTCTTTTCCATGTGTTTTCTGAATGTGAGGTGCTGGCATTCACATGTAGAAAGCTGGGGAATGTCAGGATGCTTCTGTTATCTGGCTTGATCATATCATTGTCATTGAAATGGGCAGTGTGGAGACTGTCCAAAAATTTGCACAACAGTTTTGCTTCAGGGATAGAAATGTTGGTTTCAGATCATAACATCTTAGGTTGTGGTGGGTGGTCCATGGTAGGTTGTAGGTTTTTGAAGCATAGAAATGATTAATTATTCCTACTTAGCTATTAAACTCCATGGGAAAGTGTAGTATTCAGTACTGGAATATCAAGTGAGGTGGCATGGGCTGCAGACTGTAGGGCAGTAGTCTTTGTAGGTCATAGAAGGCATCATCCCAGTAGTGATGATGGACCCATACACACCTACATCACTTTGATACTTTCCTTGAGGCCACTTCAATGGCCCTATCCTCTC